GGGAAGCGGCTGGCCTGCTCGTCGCTGGATGGCCTGGAGTGGGTCATGCGAGGTGGGGGGCCACAGTCACCTGCAGCAGGAGAGGACCTCCTCGTTCCCCGGCCCCAGCCCCAGTGAGCATCCCCAGAGGGCGACAGGGCTGCATCCATGACAGCACTGAGCAATGGGTCCCCAGGCTTGGGGATGGTGGTGTCACCCCCCACTGGCACCTGAGCAGCAAGGTGGGACCAGGGAACCTCTTGCTGGTCCTCCCCACACGTCCCACTCCCCCCTGTACTCACCATGAGCCACAGGCATGCCGAGGAGCCCCAGCAGGGCCAGGAGCAGCGCCGAGTGGCCAGACCCCCACGATTTGGTGGGCGCCCTGCAGATCAGGGTACCTGGGTGCTTCCCCTGTCCTGGTTCTCCAGATTTCATTGCAGCCATTTCTGTGCTCCTCTGTCAAGCAGCAGAGACTCCAAAGGGCTGGTTCTGAAGCTGGGAGGAGATGCACTGTGACAGCCTTGGAGAAGACTCTGGAGCAGTGGGAGATTTTCCAGAACACCCCCAGAACCCTCTGGCAGGGTCACAGAGAGCAGCCAAGGGCGGGGGACAATTGTCCTTCTCTGTGGAGCCTCCTGGTCCTCCTGCCCCACCATAAGACAATAACTTAACCCTTTTATTTGACCTAAGACTGCCAAGGAGCACTGACACAGTTTTACCAAAACCAGAGCAGAAATGACCCCCACCCAGGCCCGAGCTCTATCCAGGGTAGGAAAATGCCTTAATTATTTGCTGGCAGGTAACACAACACAAACCTTCCATGAGCAGAGTTAGTGAAACAAACATTGGAAGCAATTTGCTTTTTGTTTCTTCATGTTTTTCGTGACTGCCTGACATTTACAATTAGGAATGGGTGTGAGCGAACACATCTGCATCTTGACTAACACCCTGAAATAGCCCATCTGACATCACTTCGAGAGTATTCATGTGGGACGTAACACCCAGCTCTTATTCATGCTGATGGATTTTGAGTCTTGCACAGGAGACAAAACACTTTCTGTGCGCAGCCCTAGGTGAGTGAGGTGTTGCACACCAGGAGGGTGGAACCACCACTGGACCACACTAGAAATCTGCCTAATTTACAGCCAACGTGAGCACCCACGGTTGCATCCCCATCTTCACTGTAACCCTGCAGGGAAGAGGCAGCTGCTGCATCACAGAGCCACATAAACCGTAAGAACAGAGAAACCCGAGCAAAAGGCAGCTGAACTGGGATTTCCTCACATCTTACAATGGGTGCTGGCAGGTCATCAAGACACAGGGTGCCTCTGCTGAAATCATACCTGGCTCACACGCTGGTACAGCAGCATCCCAGGCACCGAAACACCGGCACTGTGCCGGGGCAGCACTGCTGCTGGAAATCTGAGAAGCACTGCCGAGTAAAAAAAAAAATTTAAAAAATAAAAATCCCAAACAGGGTGTAAAAGCGGTGCTGGCAGCCGGGGGGCAGCAGATGCCTCTGCAGATTAGGTGCTGGTGCTGCTGTGCACGCTGGAGAAGTCTCTCAAAAGGCCAGTTTTTAAAGGAACTGTCCACTTCCAGGCAGAAACTGGGAGCAATCTCCCTTCCTAGAAACATTCCTTAGTCAGCAGGTCCCCGCTTCTGCCCTGAAGCCAGCCTGCAGGGCGCAGGACAATTCACCAGCTACCTCCAGCATGTCCACGGGCTGCCTCAGGGCTTAAGCATCAACCTTAGTATCAACCTGCTATTCAAATTGTTAATCATGACCTTTTTAATTAAATGAGAAAAACTATTGCCTATGTCATTGACTCTCTGCACCTTACCACCACCCTCAGCTTGAGACCAGACTGCAAGGACATCCTCCAACCCTGGGAACAACTCCTCAGCTACCACAGGGATGACGGAGCCAGAGGGTGACATGCTCCTTGGGACACAGGTTCTGACCCCTGTGACTAATTAAGTGATTATTGATGCACCTCTTCACTTTGCTGTCCATAGGACAGAACAATCAAAAGCCAGACACAGCTGTCATTACCACTGCAGCTTTATTACAATCTCGGTGAAGGAGCACGATCACAAGGTGTGTGCTAACAGAGCGTTTCCTCCTTTACTGGATGTTGCAGAAAAATACTAATCTGTTTCTTTCTTTGCACTTTCATGACCAACAACTGCTCTTGGTGCACGCACAAAAGGCGCAGCCAGCGGCACTACACTAGCCTCAGATACATCTGTCCTCCTTGGGAAGAAAACCTGGCATTTTTGCTTTGCAAGAAGACAGGCACTGAAGTTTTCTTCATTGTGCCTGCTCTCAAGGTCACAGCCAATTAGGCAGTTAATTGCTGGTTTGCATTAACGAATGCAAGGCAGAGGATCAGAGTAGCAAGGTGCTGGATTGCAGCGGCAGTGCTGGGGCGAGGGTGGGCTGGTGGGTCTCACCACATGCACCCCGGTCTGTGTGGTGCCTGCTCAGCTCCCACAAAAATTTACTTTCCGCTCAGCTCCTTTCTAAATGCGCCTCGTCAGCGTGACAAACACGGCTAAATGTAAAGCTTTAAAATGTATAAAGCGATGTACAAACCTAACCCAGTGAGCTCTAACAGAATGAGCCAGAAGAAGCCGCTCTCTGACTCCCCATACGACCAAATCTGTTCCTTGACTGATTGGCAATTTTTGCTCTGCCTACTTAAGCATTAGCACAAATTATGAAGTGATATAAAAAATCCTCAGTCAACATGGTTATTCAGCACGCAAAAGGATGGTTCTTATGATACCAGTGACAACAGTCAGCCGTATGCTGTGGCTTTCAGCTCCCTTTCAAGTTTCTGGATCTCCAGGTACAGTTTCTGGACTTCCAGCAGAGTTTTCAGTTCTGTCAGAGGAATCCCGCACTGGAAAGCTTCGCTGTTTTGAAGAATCTTCTCACAAGTATCATGCTTTTTCTTTAAAAGAACCAAAACAAGACAGAGGGCATGAGGCTCTGCTGCAGGGACCTATGTGCTGAGCATCCCCGTCCCACTGCAGCCCCTCAACTGCACCAGCTCTACTGTAACGAAGCAACCCCACTCGTGGGGTCAGACCAGAGCTATTCCAGGCTATAAATGGGCCAAGAAAGAGAAAAAGCCTGGGCAGATGGTGGTACTTACACACGTGGGCAGTGGGATCCAAGTGCCATTAGCCGAGCAGGTGGATTTTGTACCTACTGACAGACGGCCGTCACGTTGGCAAGAGAAGGACAGAGTTTCATTCACCTTGTACCATAATTTATAAGAGTTAACCACAAGGTTCCCCTCCTGTGCTATGGGTCGGTAACACTGAACTGAAAGGAAAGAATAATTAATGTAGTGGGAGGAGGCAGAAGAGAAAACACCCTGCAAGTGCCACCTGCGGCTGGCAGGTCAGAGGAGAAGCACCCCTGGCCTGTGGGGGCATCTGTGGGGTCTGGTACCCACCGGGCTGGCAGACGGGCAGGAGGGGGTGCCAGGTGCCGTCGGCCAGGCACCGGCTCTCGGCATCGCCGTGCAGCTTGAAGCCTTCGTCGCAGGAGAACTGCACGGCTGCCCCGTAGGGAAACGTGAACCTCTGTGGAGTCATCCTTCCCCTCTCGACGGCGGGCGCGGGGCACCGAACCACTGCGGGGAGAGAGGAGGGAGCGGTGGGTTTGGCTGCTGCCCTTCCCCGGGGATGCCGGGGAGCCAGGTCGGGCAGATGCTCTCTGCATCCTGGCTATACTCGAGTGTAAGAATTGACCCTCAGCTGTCTCCAGCAGCCCCAGGAGTCCCCGGTGTGACTGAGCAGCTCGTGGTGCTGAGAGCTTTGCACGAGAGCCAGGGGAGCTGCATGGGCATGAAACCACTCCAGGTTTGGAGCTCCTGGACCAGGGCAGGGAGCTGGGCTGGGGCTTAGTCCCACAATCATACCCACAACGCTCCTGGCTTCAGTCTGAGCCAGAACAGGAGAATCGACTCACGCCTGCACTCCGGGGCAGGTCCGCTCCATGTCATGTTCACCCCGTCGTTGGAAGTGCAGTAGATGGACGGGTCCCCAAGGAGGGACAGACCCTCAGCACAGCTGTACGTCACCTCTGCGCCATAGGTGAACTGCTCCTGTCCCAAGCCAGAGTGGCGGCCGCTGGCGATTTGGGGAGGGGGACCACAGGCTGTGGAATAAGGGGAACTGGTAAGAAAATAAACACATGAAGTCGCTGCCTGGATTCTTGCCTCTTACACCAGCTCCAGGCTCCAACCTCTCACTCAGGTCCCGCCTGGGTCACAGCTGCAGGAGAAGACACCTAGACACGTCCAGCCCTGAGCTGGTGATCGTCGTCCCCTTCCCCAGAGCAGATGACAAAGGCAGGTCACCTACCGACGGCTCTTTCTGGATACTCACACACCAGATTTCCTCTCAGCACGACGTTACACATACCTTTGTCACAAAACGGTAACGGGGGAGCCCAGCTCATATCAGCCTGACACTCGGTCACCTCCTGGCCCCTGAGGACATAGCCTGAATCACACGCCAGCCTCACTCGGGTCCCAACCGTGTAGTCAGTTTTGCTTTTATACACCTCTCTCACATGAGCAACATCTGGCTTTGGGCAACGAGGTTCTAGAAACAAGAGAAAGTAAAGGATGTCATGCCTTTTCAGGAAGAACTCCAGTGAAGACACTTTTTACAGAGAAGACAGTCATCAAGAACATCCGAACCCTGGAAAAAAAGGTGAGTATCAACCAGGTGCAGGTCTCAACGCCTCCTTTGGCCACACGCAGATTTTCCTGTGAATGTCAACAGACAGCTATGCTCTACAGAGTCAAAACTAAGGAGTAGCCAACACGCTTCACCAAGTCTCACCTACCTGGAGTGCACTCTGGTACCTCTGGATCCCATCTACCATCGCTCGTACAGTGAAGCACAAGGCTACTGCCGCGACCTTTGAAGGCATAGCCCTCGGTACACATGATTTCCAGCCTGTCTCCATACACGTAATCAACCTTCTGTCCCCAGACATTAAAGGGCCTTCCATTCCTGACATCTGGATTTGGGCAGCGGATTCCTGAGAAATGCCAAATGTCAGCGAGTGTGAAAACCAGGGCGATGCCACCTAGGGGGGCTGGGGTGTTTGCTAGGAAGGTAGACTCACTTTCACAAGGAGGTGGAGTTTCAGTCCACGTGAAGTCCGGCAGACACTGGATGTGCCGTGTGGTTTCTCCTGGGCTGAACTGGTGGCCCTGCCGGCACTCGTAGGTGACCACGGTCTCCACAGGAAACAGGTTACCGGCAAGTTTTGCTTTAACAGCATTGTGCACGTTGGGAGGGTCATCACAGCTACCTAGGGATGAAATATCAATTTAGGGACATTGCCAGCGGTAAATCAGCGAGGCCCATAATGGTATGCAACATAAGAGAGAGAATTTGGGTAAAAAATGTGGGCTCTCGTTGTCCTTTCTGAGATGCACATAATCATTTGAGTTCAGCGATGCCAAAGAGCGAATGCAAAGGAGACAAGCAAAAACATACGAACAGTTTTGGGCTGCATGGCTATTTTCACTGCTATAATGAGGTATGATTTCTAATAAAGTTTATGCTATCTGAGGCTCTAAAATATTAAATACAGAAAGGTCAATTTAGCCCCTCTGAATTCTACTGAGAAATGCTCACCAGCTGGAACGGCTTTAGTCTCTACAGCCCCAAGTTATAAGTTCCTAAAGTCAACCTAGTGCTAAAAGAGAGATTAGCAAAAAAAATAAAATAAAATCAAAAATCCCAGATTAGAAAAAAATAAAATAAAATCAAAAATCCCCAAAGTTCAGTCTCGGAGCCATCACCTCCATGACCTAATGCTTTCTGAGGTAGGGGGGAACTTGACAGAAGCGAAGCTGCTGCCCCGGCGGGGTCGCACTTACTGCGCTGGCAGCGCGGCAGCGGAGGCTCCCAGAGGCCGCTCTCCTGGCACGTGGACGTGTCGCTGCCGTTCAGGCTGTAGCGGAAGTTACAGTCGACGAGGACGCTGTCTCCGTAGGCGTAGTCGCGGCGGTACCTGCTCAGCAGCCTCCCGTTCTCCACCTGCGGCTGCTCACAGGTGACCACTGCGCCAGGGAAATGCCACCACGTCAGCAGTTACGCTCAAGAGGGTGTTAAAAACATTCTCGGAGCAGAAGGGGGGTTCACCAAAAAGGCTCCAAGTGGGCATGGCAAGGCAGCAGGGTGACAAAACTAGTTTCGAACCCCCTACTCTATACATATATATTTTTTTTATCTGCTCACCTTTGCATTCTGGGGCTGGCTTGTTCCAGACACCATTTACGTTATCTGTGGTTGTACAGAAAATAGAGGCATCTCCCACCAGTGAGAAAGGTCTCTGTCCCTTCTTGACAGGGTGGCACCAGTAAGTGACAGATGTCCCGTATTCAAAGTGGTCTTTGTCAGCTCCGTTGTGCTCCCCATTAGCTATTTCTGGAGGGGGTAAACACGGTATTGCTGGAGAGGGCAGGGGGAGAAACGGTAGAAGGAGAGAAGGAGAAGAGAGAAAATTAACTGATTTTTGAACTGGTAAAAAAAAAAATTGAAGCACCTGAGAAATTTAAGGGCAGGTCTCAAGGTTGTTTCATGCCTGCCCACAGGCAGCAGAGCTTGAACCCAGGCACTGAGGGGTTTGGGGACAGACCAAGCTCACAGGCAGCTGCCCTACTCCCAGGCAGCAAATAAACTTTTCTGCAGGATGATGCAGGAAGAAAAACACAAAGAAAAAATTGTTTTTCCACACTCCACCACATGTTGAACTGCTGAAATCCTCCGTAGGGCAACACGACTGCTCCGTACCCATCCCCAGTCCCATTTAAGCAGGAGATCAATTAATGTACTTACGCTCACAGAAGGGAATATCTTTGTCCCATGAAACAACATCATCTTTAATTACACACTGAATTTGAGAACTTCCAACCAGCCTGTACCTGTGCGAAACAGGGGAGAGGGAATTACTCGACAAGCTCAGCTTTGATGTATTAGCTCTAACATTACCGTCGGGATGGTTTGGGCTTCTTTGTCATAATTACAGCAGATCAGAAAATTGCCATTGATGTAATTTTTTTCAGTGACACGCTGGCTTTTTACAAAAAGCACTTTTAAAATAATAAAAAAGTTACATGGTTTCCAAGGAAAATCATCTGCTTCATCAGCCAGCGTAGCTTTCGCTACAGCTCGGAGTGCAGTATTGATGTCTTTTCCTCAAAAAGACACTGAAATATTGGAAATGGTTCAGAAAGGGTCAGGAGAGTGAACTTGAGCTTGGGAAGAACTGCCTCAAAGTTTGAGATAAAGAAAGCTCAGTGAGTCTTAAAGGTTTCAAAGGAGCGCTTAAAAGATAATTCAGTCACAGTCTGCATTTTCCTGTGCTGGTGAGGCTTCTGACCACACAGGCTGTGATCTAGAGGGGAAAACACTTCAGAAAGATGCCCGGGGAAGCAGAGGACCTGTGCCCCGAGCGCTCCTGCCTTACCCCGTGTTGCAGGTGAAATTCACTGTTGAGCCAAAAGCGAACGTTTCTGCTAGGACGAGTCTGCCGTTGGCCGGCTCTCCGGGGTAGATGCACCGCCTCGCTGGGCGACAAGAGGACTGGAGTTAGTTCAGTTTCTCGAAGAATCAGGGAAAACGCAGCAGGAAAGCAGAAGACTCCTCCAAGGGGATGGACCTCTGGATCTCCCCTAGAACCCTCAATTATTCCATGACTTGCATCACAACCTGCACACCAGCCTCTGCAGCCGAAGCAGGTTTTGCAGTAACCCCAACAAGCAAGACAGCGCTTCTTCTGTAGGATTCTCCTACCACAAGTCTGAAACACTGCTTTTGGGCCGGGAGTTGCAAATTGCCTGAGCAGAAGGACGTGCTTTGAGGCAGCACACGCAGCCAGCAGCAAAGCAGATTCCAGTTTTTGCCATCATGGGAACACAAACTCATCTCCCGCTATCCCACAGGATAAGCTGATTAATAAGCAGCGAAGAAAACACAGAAGCGAAAGTCAACTCAAAATATACTCACGCGCACAGAACTCCTGTGATCCGTGCCACTGGCCATCTTTTCCACAAATAAGGGCGTTTCGGACGTTGACTTTTCTCACCTGGATGTAACCTGGACGACAGTCGTATTCCACTGCTGATCCGTAGAGGAAGGTGGTAAACTCACGGTACTGCTCCCTCAGCTCTGCAGATGAGAGACGTGGCGGAGCATCACAGTCACCTGCCGACAGAAATTCCATCAGCAAGATGCTGGGAGGAAGAGGAGGGGGAGCTCAGGCCTGAAGGTTCTGGAGAGGATGCATCAGTGGCCTTAAAACTCCTTAAAGGTAGAAGTAAGAGGGGAGGCACAGTCTGTGACTGAGGACCAGGGAGCAGCATCACCTCACGAGGTCCTGGTCCTCCTCACACCTCATCCAGCCATTTCAAAGGCTGGTCATGAAGCCCAGATTAACCATTTCCCCTCCCCAATTAGTAGAAATCATTGCACCTTTTCCAGCTGGAATAATTTTACGTCTGTTTTACACGGAAAGGAAAAAATAGCAAAGGGAGATCACAAAGATTTAAAACGTTCTCGAAATGCAAAGGCAATGAGGAAGAGAAGGATCCAAGCCTTTTGAATCCCAGGAGAAAGTTTCCCTTTGAGGGATCTTAGTTTAACCCGACGGGTTCTCTCCCTCCTGCTGTTCACTTACTCTGCACAGCCACAAAAAGAGCAGCGGCGAGGAGTAGCCCAAAGAGAGCAGCGGGATCCCTCTGCCGCCCCAGCTCTGAAGTCGGCATCTTTCTTTATTCCAGCCTCCTGGGAGCTCCCACAGAAGTTACCACATTTTTTTCCGGGCCAAATATCTGTAAAAAATAGCGGGGAGGGTTATTTATGTTCAAGATCATCATCACTCACACGGACGGGTCTCGTTGGCTCCATCTCTCTGCTGGTCGTAGAGGTTAAGCAGTTCCCGTAGGCTTGGTTCTGCTGGTCTCCTTCATCTGCGGTTTTTGAGAATGCAGCTTTCAGCTAAAATGCAAAAATGCTATATTGCCAATACCTGCAGGGCAAGGAACTCATCTATGCCTTCTGTAAAAAGCCCCCTGAAAGTTATCTTATGGGTAAAACATTTTGGTTTAGTAACAAATCTCTTGGAAGCAAATTCACAGTCAGACGAAATCCTGCTGGAGTCAGCACAGTCCCCCAGCAACAAATTGCGTGCAGAGACGGAGAGAGAAGCATCTAATCAAAAGGACACATCAGTTTTGCACAAATAACATGACCTGGAGTAAAGCTATAAAGCACGCAAGTAATGCAGGAGAGTAAAGTTCTTTAAAAAATGGAATTTGAGTGCAATTTGGACTAGCTTGGCACCATGATCAGCAAGATGAGACCTCTCAGAATTATTTATCCAGGATCACCGTTTTTGAGCCTAAACCTTCCCAATGCTTTGCATGCTCCGAGTGCCCACCCTGCTCCTGGAAACCAGAATCTTTTGTGATGCTTTCTGCCCTAAACCCAACACTCCTTGCAGCTCTTTCACTCCTCTGGCTTTCCCTCAACATTTGTTACAGCCCTGGGTTTCATTTTATTTAATTTACCAATCTTTGTGCCTGCCAGAGTTGCAGAAAAGCTCCAGCCCGGTTCCCCGGAGCGACGTCACCTAAAGCTCTGTGGCTCAGAGTTATCTTACCTGGAGGTCTGGCAGCAGGAGATGGAGACCCGGCACGTTCAAGTCCTGTAAGACAAAGCTGTGGTTGCCCTCCCCTCGTCCCTGCAGCCTTAAAGGAGGAGTTCTGATACGCCTACAAGCTCTGATACAGCTTACTGCGGAAAAGTTTGAATTCTGCAGAAATCAAAGAATTGTGCCAGTTGACCCATAAATCATTAACTCCTCCTCCGAGCAAGGAAGAAGTAGTTCATTCAACCCACAGAGCAAAATGCTAGAAAACTGAATGCAACCCAAGCAGATGTTGAAATTATTTGTTTTCTGCGCGAGAGCTGCCAACTTGTCGTCGAAACAATCCCCGCAGAGCAGGAGCCTGCCCGTCCCACCCTGCAGCACCCTCAGGGGATGCCCAGGGGCCTCCTCAGGAGCACTGCTTCACCCCGGGGCACGTCAGGCATGAGCTCATCCCTCCTGACCTCAAAAGCCTGTGGCCAGCGTTTGAAATACATTTTCCTTCAGCCAAATCCACTGATTCCCTAAGAGCGAGGGCAGCTGGGGCTCAGGAGCTCAGGAGGTCCCAGGGAGTTTCGCACAGAGCCGGACACTCGGGTCTGTGATGGGAGCCCAGCTGCCCTTGGGCTCACCAAAAGCTTTTCCTCCATCCACCACCGCTGGGGGGTCATTCTCCAGGGACAAGAGTCGTAGGCGTTTGCTGCTTTCAGCACTTTGGCTGCTCGGCTTCATCCCGGCTTGAATCACCATCAAGAACCCGACAACAGTCTTTTTAGCCCAGGTTGTGCTTCCCTCAAGTGTTGGTTTATTCTGCCAAATCTAAGCGCTTGCTTTATTTTATTTTTCCAGAAACATTCACCACATTTAATCCCCTGAAAACTGATGAGGGAAGGCAATGGCAGCAGTAGCTCGGAGGTGCAGGATTTACCATTTCCAGCCCAACTCCCAGAAGCCAGAGACACCCATCCTCCCCCTCCAAACCCTTTCCAGAGACTCCCCAAACTCCCCATCACCTCACAATCCCAGCACACAGTAGATAAGTTACAGCAAACAATAATGGAAAATAACAGAGGAAACTGGATCTGTATTTTTTTTAAAATTTCTTTTAATGTAAATAAATGCCGATGGGCTGTCTATGCTCAAGCGCACAGAGTATGCAACACACAGCACACGATCACATACATTGCAGTATCTTAAAACCTAAAAAACACAGCAGACAGCGGCAACAAACTGCGAGCAGACGCGTAACATCCACGTTGTTGAACACAGAGAAGTTTGCAAACAGCGCCCAGAGACGGAGGAGCAGCACGACCACTGGAGATGTCACCCAGCGCCCTTCAGGGGGAGGGTTTGGGTCGCACCCCTGGGGCCAGCGGGTTCCTGGAAGCCCTGACAGTGATGCCTCTTCTCCCAAGGAGCCTGGCAACAAACTGCGAGCAGACGCGTAACATCCACGTTGTTGAACACAGAGAAGTTTGCAAACAGCGCCCAGAGACGGAGGAGCAGCACGACCACTGGAGATGTCACCCAGCGCCCTTCAGGGGGAGGGTTTGGGTCGCCCCCCTGGGGCCAGCGGGTTCCTGGAAGCCCTGACAGTGATGCCTCTTCTCCCAAGGAGCCTGGTCTGGACTTCCCCATCGCCCTCGGCCCCCTGCCCGCAGCTGCCGGGAAGGGGACGCCTGGCTGAGCTCTAACGTCACAGCCAGCGTACACAAACTCGAGCTGCCCCGGCCGGTTTTCAGCCTGTTTCCTCCTTTTCCCCATGACTGGCAGCAGAGACAGAACAGGTTTTCATTAAATCATTCTTCTTTAAAATGCCCCCGCCCATAACACCGATGGGGCAGCAAGCCCCTGGACGGTGGCTCAGGTCCCGCGGGTGGCCCTGCCACCACTCACTAAGGTGACAGCAGCCACCACCACCTCTGCTGACAGAAATGGGGACAAAGGCAGGGAAATAGAGAAAAAGCTTCACCAAGGCACTGAGCCTCCACTCCCACACCTCCAAATTCAACCTGCCCAGCCCAAGACACCAGCTCGACCAGCAGCCAACCCGCAGCTGAGGGACCTTGTGCAATCTTTATTTACTTACTCTGGGGTATTTGCACGCACGGTGCCAACGGAATCAGGTGATTTCAAGGAAATCCCTGGCAGGGGGACCCGCCAGCCCATTTGGGGCTGGGAGGTGCGTGGGCTCCCCAGCATCACCTCGGGGCTTGGCAGGAACCCGGGACCCGCCGTGTCGGGCAGGCACCCGGGCCCTGCCGTGTCGGGTACAATCCCCCCGTGCGGCATCATAAATCTGCTGCTGCTCTGCTCTAGACATGCGTGTTTACACCTTTTGAAAATTAAAATGCAGGGGAAAAGGCTAGCTAGGCTTTCATTAAAGCACCAAGGCACAAACACTGCTGTCTGCAGAGACAGCCTCGGCCAAAGTAAAGACCCACTTGGGAGGAATAAGGGACCCACGGTCAGGGATGCAAAACTGCAAACCTCATTTTTACCAAGGATTAAAAACCAAAACCAGCAGGGATTAAAAAACAAAACCTCCAACATATTAACAGCTACATTCATGTGTTCTGGCAGGAAAAAAATATATTTTTGTCTCTTTAACTACTCAATGATACAAATATAATTAATTCCTCAGCAAGTTATTACAGAGTATTGTGCGTAAACACCCCCCAGCACATCTCTGCCCCTCCTTCCCCCGCAGAGCAGGAGGCTTCTCAGGAGGAGCAGCCAGCCCAGGTTTGTGCGTTTGGAGCATTACTGGAGTGTGACAGCGAGCACTACCAAGCAACAGGCTATCATCTCTTCGACGTTTTTTTCTCTCTTTTTTTTCCCTTTTTTTTTCTTTTCCTTACTTATTTCTAATCGCTGCAACATTTAACACCGAAGAACAGACTTGTGCTGCTCTCGCAGAGGCTGCAGCAAACCCGCACGCCGGCGGGAACAGCCCAAGGAACAAAACTAATAAAACTCAAGTTTCTCACCTACTGAATTTCATCCCTCTGTGGCGCAACTCTAGATGAGCACTTCTGCTCCTCAGAAACCCGGAAGGGTCACGATTAGTGCCTTCACCACAGCTCATTCTAGCTCAACTTTATCAAATTAAAGCTCTTGGGAGTGTTTAAAAAAAAAAAAACAGCCAGGTTTGAGCTCAAATTCCCCAGGTAAACCTCAGGCTCTGGGGTTGCTGAGCTCCTCCACAGCCAGGGCACCAACGTGTCCCGCACACTGATCCCTACGCTGGGCACAGCTGACATTCATTTATTTACACGAGGAAAATAAGCAGCCTGGGTCCCAGACGCTGCTCGTATAAATCCTGGGAACAGCCAGCATCAGAGCAGCCTCCTGCTTCATACCTAAACGCTCCTTTCTTCACCCAACCTGACGGTTTTGCCCTTAGAGCAAGAACAGGAGGAGTGTGGTAAAACGGAGTTTGGCAAAACTCAAGTCAAGACTTGGGGAAGAAAAAGGTAAATTTGGGGTGTTGCTTCCCCTGCACCTGGGTGGGGGATGGCGCCGCAGAGGAGCTTCACCCCCGGGCACTAAACACCAAAGCAGTTTAAACTCTAGTAAAGGCAGCATTAAACAATGGTAACATTCACAGCTTATCCACAGGAAAGTTTAAAAACTTTTTGTGGGCCTAAAATCCGGTACATTAAAAAGACAGCTGGTAAAAATCCTGTGCTTCTCTGCGCGAGGTCCCGTTTTCTGCTGCAGTGGATTAAAAGCGTCCACAAAACCCAGGAAAAAAACGAGCGAGAGGATGAGATCAGGAGGCAAAGCCAAAGCAGGACTTGAGCTCGGATTCGGCAGCGCTGGCAGCTTTTCTGGTTCCAGGAGCCTTTGTTCCCTTCTGCCCCTCGCAGGGGACGTCCTGGGGGATTTGTGGACCTCACAAGTTTGGACAAGAGCCTTCCCGGAGCAAAAGAAGAGGCTCAGCTCGGGAGGATTCACATCACCAGTCGTGAAAGCAAAGTGAAATGACGAAGTTTTGGATGGCAATAACTGTTTGAACTTAAAAAAGGTAAAAAAAACCCAAAAAACCCCACACCTGGAGACTTGGTCTTCCAAAGAAAAGCTGCTTCAGCAAGTACGGATGTGACCATTTTGTCCTCACATACGCTGCGGTTAATTTTGCCATTTAACCAGGAGGAAGGTCGTGGGACACTATTTTTAACACCCTAATAAGCCCAGGGAAATGTTAGCTCACACGTATTACAAGCAGGTTGACAAAAATCTCAGTAATACATTTCCTCCAACCTCACTGACAGACATTTCAGCATTCAGAAAGAAAAGACACAGACAGATACTAAAAAAAAAAAAAAACTCAACAGATTTCAGAGAAGAGAGCTGGCCTGTGGCTCACTGTGCTCTGGGGATGCTCGAGTCCCATCCGCAGGGCTCGTCCTGGTGCCAGAAATCCCAGCTGAATCCGAGATGAAAGAGCAAAGCTCTACACCGTTAAACCAGCCATCCTCTAGAAAGGAGAGAGAAGGAGTACAGGTTACCCCAAAGGTGAGGCAGGAGGTGCTAAAGCAGGAGACAGCAGGGCTCAGCACTGTTACTCGCTTTTATTTATCTCCCCCATGGGAGAGTACACTTCCAGCACACACATAAAAGACATTACAGCAATTAGTTTGCATATTAGCCACAATAAATACTTAATAGCTTTGACAAAACCCCTTCCACTGCCTCACCGAGTGTCCGGCAGAGAGTAGGAACTCACTCGAGTCAGTACAAGGGAACTACATATATTTACAAACATGCAATCACACCAGTTAAAATCCGACAGCCAGGATTTCCTGCAGCACTTTGAGACTGCGACCCAACGGGTACGTGTGCAGTTTGTCTTCCTGCCTAACCAGCACTGTTCTGCAATTAAAAAACCTCAACGGCACAGCTACGGAGCCGATTTGCTGAAATTTAACAGTAGGCATCAACGCTTAGAATCCAATAGTCAGGAAATCCAGGCCCTACATGTTTTCTATTTGCAATTTAAAATAGATAAACGAAACAGCTTTCCTGACTACGACACTTAAAGTAACCATCATCAGACAGAGCTAATCCGTAACAGCTGCTCACAACCTACTTTCCCAAGCAAAACAGCAGCGCTAAGAAGGAGGGATGTTTGTACTGGAACAAAGCTGGACCAAGTTACTTTCGTTTATCTGCAAACCCTTCCTAGGAAGTCTGAGTTATTTGCTTACACATAGCGGAAAAAGAAACACTTGGAACGTTAAAAAAGTAGTTTTGCAAGGCTGGCAAACACATTCATTTTCCAAACACACGGCTCCTTTTGGTTCAGAGTAAAGACAAATCCATTCGATTCTAAATTAGTATTACTCAGGATAGGAAAACTGATTTATCAGATTTATCACAAGCTCCCCCAGCTCAAGTTCTTTCTCCTTTTCCCCTCACTTGGACCGCTCCCACGTGGCAGAAGCTCTGCAGCGATACCTGAGCTTGCTGCTCTGTGCGCTCCCACAGCTTTGGCAGCGCAGGCAGTAAGAAAACTCTTCAACGTTACTAAAAGCCTAAAAACTGTCACACACTAGAAAACAGGAGATGGGGGCACGTAACTTTAGGATCAACCCCACACCTGCAAGTCCTAGGACACTAAATACCAGCGATGGAGAGAGACCGAGCAGATGCCTTGAGAAAAATTGCTGGAAGAGCTACACTTCCAGGACAAAGCACAAAGGCAAGGAGGGAGCAGAGCTTTGCTG